TTGCTCTGCTGCAAGAGTGCAGCGAGGTGAGTTCACTGTTTAGCGGCGGTCAGATTGAAGCAGCCGCGCTGGTGGAACTGCATGTCCCTCACACGGCGCATGGACTGAATCTGAGGCTGGAAGGCGCAAAACTCGTTGTAGTGTCTGTAGTCTCCGCACTCAAACAGATACTGGTATCCTCTGTAGCCGGGGTACTGGTATCCCACCCAACTTTAAAAAGAAGACCAGAGTGGTTCAGAATGCGTGAAAGATGGGATATTATTGCTGTTTGGTTCGTTTTGACGTGATACTCACGCTCCGCCGGGGACCCTCACGCTGCCCACTCTGTCGCAGAAGCCATGCGCCCACAGGGTTGGCACGTCATCCTCCTGGATCTCCATCTTGTTGCCCTTGAAGTCGGACAGCTCAAACAGGCAGATCTTGTGCTCCATGGGGTCCTGTGGGGGTTAGGACCAATTAGAAGCATGCGTTTGAATTCACTTATATAGTGTAAAGGAGCAGTTGCAAAGTGTCCTACCATGCGAATGGGTCTGATGGACATGAGACAATCACTGCGGTAGCTGTTTGACCAGGTGTCCCAGCGAGGATACTCGCCCTTCTCCAGGATGAACATCTCGCCACGGAAGTTAGTCTGCTCGAAGGCAACAAAGCTGAAGACATGCACATCATTGAGAGATGTGTACCAGACAGTGGATGAGGGGGGAAAAAGGGATGACAGCATGAGTTTGGAGGGGAACGGATGGTACCAACTAAATAAACTTGCTATCTCAATGATCCTAAAATAACACCGATGTATGCTTTTCTCATCCACATTAGACACATTCCATTGGTTCAGTGACTTACGGGCCGCACTCGACAATGATACTGCGGACTCTGTCCATTCCGCGTTCACAAACGTTCATGCACTCATTCTGGACCTCCATCATCCTGCCCTGGAAGTTCTCCTGGTCGAACAGGAAGATCTGCAAGAGAAGTAGATGTTGACCATGAGCAGGTTTCCCACTTACTTTCTTAATTTCACTATTGACTTCATGGATAGTGAACCTTTTTGGGAACCATCTTAAAAGAACCATTTTTCTTTAGCGTGAAGAACATTTAAATAATCTTAAGAACGTTTCCATGGAGGCTAAATGTTCTAAATGGAACTTTCTACGCAATTAAGAACTTTCCTTTTTAAGACTCCTGAGGAATCTCCAAAGAACAGTTCTTAAAAGAACATTTTAAAAATCTAAAGAATCATTTTTTGGAATGGATGTTAAAGGGTCTCCATATGCTAATCCCAACATTACTTGGTGGTTTGTCTGCCCAAATCCAGTCCTTCAAACCAGCTGAACGCAGGTACTTACTTTGTAGTTCCCCGTGAATCCGGGGTCTCCGGTCTTGGGGAGCTTGCAGATGCCCGCAGTGGCGGGAGCTCCCTTGTCCTTGGCATCACTGCCCTGGCTGGAGGCGGACTTGGTGGTCTGAGACATGGTGATGGGGTTCAAGAACGTCTGTGGGAGAAAGAGCAAAAGGTTGGAAAGGTCATGAGGCTTGAAATTGGTGCACATGCTCCAAAATATCCATCAGGGCTGGTGTTGTGGGACAGGGGTTGTATGTTAGGGATGGTAGGGTTTGGGCTTTGCATTTAAAATGGCTGCTTTCATTCCCACAAAAAAACAAAACAGAGCAATAAGTGAATCCAGGGCAATTCCCTATGCTACATCCATGAGATAATAGTGAAGGGACTCCCAGCTGTAGCTGTATCCACTTGACCTGGGCTCTTACCTGCTTGAGTACAGCTGTGCTGGGATGGCTGGCTCGTGCTGGCCCCCTCTGACCAGTGCTCTAACTTTTATACCCTGGCAAGGGGAGCACAGAGACGCTCGGCGTACAATAGAAACACATCGTCATCAGAGTTTGCCCGTGCCAAAGCCGCAGGGTCATCGCATAGCCCAGAAGGCTCTCTGTCAATGGAAAGCCCTGACAATAGCACTTTCCCCTTTAGCCTGCACTCCATGCTACAGGCTACATATGGACGAAACGTATACACACACAGGTCAGAGGTCACGTGATGCTAATCCACTCTACTCTGCTCTCTGACTCTGATGTGATGTTTGCATCAGAGTTACACTCTTATTTCAAATGCAGCTATGTTGGAGAACAACAAATTCGACATATGAGTTAATATAATAATATGATATTTATTTACATTTTAAGTAAAATTATTATTTTCATATTTTTCATTGATTTTGTTATAAATATATAATATATATATATATATATATATATATATATATATATATATATATATATATATATATAAATAAACCAAACCAATGAAAAATATGAAATAATAATTGTGTAAAAAAAAATTTATTAAAATTATGTATTGTAGTATGGATATAGTATATATATATATATATATATATATATATATATATATATATATATATATATATATAAAACACAATGTATTATATTTAATACACTTAATATTATTATTACTATTGTGGAATACTATTGTCCATAAGAAAAGAAATGTCTAAATATATCGATAAATGCAAGATCTGTATACCAGTTTGAAAATGTGATCTTAAGCCTAAATGAGAAAATGAGAAACTGAATGATTGGGATTGGGAATTACGGAAGCGTATTGCATTCACTTGAAGAAAAATAGTCTACTCTTTTTTTCTGAATTAACGAGTTAATTATCTCAGAATTACGAGAATTTTTCATGGAAAAAAGTTTTTGCTCTGTTTTTCTGAATTAACAAGTTAATTATCTCACAATTACGAGAATTTTTCAAGGAAAAAAGTTTTTTTTTCTGTTTTCCTGAATTAACGAGCTAATTATCTCAATAGAATACTAGAATTACGAGAATTTTTCATGGAAAAAAGGTTGTTTTTTCTGTTTTTCTGAATTAAAGAGTTAATTATCTCAGAATTACGAGATAATTTTTAATGGAAAAAGTTTTTGCTCAATTTTTTTAATTAATCAGTTAATTATCTCAGAATTACGAGATATTTTTTCTTGGAAAAAACATTTTTGCTCTGTTTTTCTGAATTAACGAGTTAATTATCTCAGAATTACGAGAATTTTTCATGGAAAAACGTTTTATGGAAATAACTCTCAAATGTTTGATTATCTCAAAAATAAGTAACTCATATGAGTAACTCATTAATTCATAAAAACAGAGGGAAAAAAAATTTCAAGAAAAATATGTCATAATTCTGAGATAATGAACTTGTTAATTCAGAAAAACAGAGCAAAAACTCTTTTTAAATTAAAAATCGTCGCGTAATTCTGAGTAAATGAACTCTGTTAAATCAGAAAAAAACAGAGTAGATTTTGTTTCCTTAAGTGAATGCAATACGCTTCCTTAGTTTCTCATGATTTCTTAGGATTAATATTACATGTTAAATGGCATTTTTCAATCCCTGTGTCTTTAAATGTAGTATATGTGTTAGCAGATGCAGAGTGAGCTTGTTACGCAACATGGACTTCCACAGAATCTCACTGGCACTCTTTGAACCTGCGCTGTGAGATTTACGGCTACAATCTTCTGAAATGAATGCTGCAATAGCCCTGAAACAACTGCAATATCTCTCCTTACTGACTCTCTGAATGATTAGAAATAAGCGTTGAAAAATAGGAGCAGCCTACGAACCCTAACATGATTTAGCTTTATAGAAGGCTTTTACTGTTTTTATCTATCTTCATTTATATACCGGTAGTAAATGTTGTTGTTTTCGAACTTGACCTGCATTTTTTTAAATGTGATATACACAAATAAAAATTTTAGTTTTTTTTTGTTTTTTTGAAGAGTTGTTTTGTCACAGTCATATTTTTTGTTTCATTTGACATGATTAAATGATTATGATTATTAAATGACAAATGATTAAATGCCAGAATTTCTGTGTTATACTGCATAAAAACAATGGAAATGCCAGTTATAATAACAAATATAATGACAAAAAAGAGATAAATGCGACAAATAATATTGCAATACCATACACTATCATTCTAAATCATGTGTTTTTATATTCAGCAAGGATGCATTAAATTCATCAATAGTGCAGTAAAGACATTTATAACGTCACAAAAGGTTTATATTTCAAATAAATGCAGTTTTAAGCTGTTTTTAACATCAGAATAAGAAAAGTTTCTTGAGCCGCAGATCTCCATATTAGAATGATTTCTGAAGGACCGTGTGACACTGAAGACTACAAATTCAGCTTTGACCATAATAAATTACATTTTAAAATATATTTAAATAGAAATTAATTATTATAAATTGAAATATTTTTGAACAAATAAATGCATGCTTAGTGAGCATAAGAAAATTATAACATTAAATACATTAAAAAATCTTACCGAAATCTTATCATTTGCAAGTGAAAATGCAAAGCTTTTGTAAAATGCATTAGATTTCGATTTTTCACCTAAAAAGAAAAATCTAGAATTTTAAGAGGATTGATGCATAATCATCTTCAGCATGTTTAATTTTTCCATGTTTTTTTTTAAAGTGTGTAAATAGCTTTCCACCCACTTTTTTAACTATGTGAAAGTATTAAAAATTATAGGGACCAAAATTCATTTTTTCCCCTCCACATATTCAAAGGATATCCATATGTTTATATATAGATAATTTGAATTTCTTTTATTACTGTAAATGCATGACATCTTCATAGCATGACTGTAGACATAGTGACCTCCCCTGCCATCAGTCGTTCTTTTTAACGCATTCACCAAGCCAAAACGAGAGCATCATAATTGATGAGACCAAGACCACCACATCTCTCCCTGAGCACGACACCGTCTCAGATCCGTATGATCTGTATGTGTTTGGGTGTCCAGTCCTGGGCGCAGAGATTGGCCCTGTGGGGATAGTGTGGCGTTTGCACTTCTCCAGCTGTATAGATTTAACCCCTCCTTTGTCAGCTGGACAATGGCAGGCCCCTCCCTCGCTGCTGACCCGGGGCTTTTACTGGGCCCTTTGCCAGGGGAGGCTTTAAAAGGGTAGATGCACATGCCCAGCTTTCACTCTCACATCAGGACGTCCCAAGGGCATCGAAGCGAGGTGAGTTCTTCTCCGCTACGGGCCCGTTGTCTGTCCCCCTACATCCCTCATACGTTCACACCGCCACCGCCGAACGCATTTGCTCCGATAACTAGACAATGACTGAGTCAGTAGTCACATAGTCAACTTCTGCTCAAAAATCTCATTTAGCCAGTCATCTGCATTCTGAGCATGTTTTGTGGGTTTGAGGTATGATTTTGCCATTTGTTTGACTTTAGTGTAGGTTATTGAAGTGCTTGTACAAACTTGCTCTTTGTTTTCTAGCAGACGAGATGACTCACCATTGCACCAAGTTCTCTGGCCATTGGAAGGTACGCTTGACACAGTGCTGTCACCCATCAGGATCTGCAAAACAAGATTTCCCTTTCCAAATAATCACATACAAGTCTGAATAGATTGGATAATGATTGCAAGGAATGCTGTTGTCTGGAAGGTTTTGCTGTAATTCGCCAGTATAGTTCTTGATATGAACTTTTATAGTAGTTCTCATCCCATTTGGTCTTTTCCCCAACATTGTGCCCTTGAAATCTTGAAGATTTCCCAACCTCTGTCTTCCAGATCATCGTGTACGACGAGGAGTGCTTCCAGGGCCGTCACCATGAGTTCACCTCAGAGTGCTGCAATGTCATGGAGTTCGGTTTCGAGTCCGTGCGCTCATTGAGAGTGGAGAGCGGAGCGTGAGTGTTTTCTCCAAAGTCTTTGTTCCATTATAGTTCCAGAGGTTTGTGCCAATTATTTAGACTAACTGTGACTCCGGATCTGGGAAGAACCCAGCAAACAAATGTAGGTTCTGGGAACGTTAGTTTTTGGTTCCCAGAACGTTCCTAGAACTTTCCCTTAAAGGGATACTCCACTTTTTTGGGAAATAGGCTCATTTTACCACTCCCCCAGAGTTAAACAGTTAGGGTTTACCGTTTTCGAATGTATTCAGCCGATTTTTTGATATTTAGAAGAATATCAGTAACCAGACAGTTTCTGGTCTCATTGACTTCCATAGTATATTTTTTCCTACTATGGAAGTCAATGAGACCAGAAACTGTCTGGTTACTGATATTCTTCTAAATATCAGAAAATCGGCTCAATGGATTTGAAAACGGTAAACTCTGGGGGAGTGGTAAAATGAGCCTATTTTCAAAAAAAGTGGTGTATCCCTTTAAGGTTAAGGGAACATTCCCGGAACATTCTCCTTACGTTATAAAAATGGAACCTAAAAATAACCTACATGGAACGTTCCTATAACGTTCTTGTTTGGTTCCCCAAAAAATAACTTCATGGTACCCTTCGGGAATGTTAGGGGAACGTTCTGTGTTTGCTGGGAAGGATCACCCAAACCACACTGTAAAAAAATATTGATGGTTTAACTTAAAAAAGTAAGTAACCTTGTTGCCTTAAAATTTTAAGTTCATTGAACTGGAAAATGTGAGTTAATACAGTGAAGGAGATTAATTTAACCACCAGAAACTCAAAATTATATGTTATCTGAACTAAATAAATTATTTAAGTTGATTTGACAAAAGAAACAATGTTGTGATTACTACACTGTAAAAAAATATTGCTGGTTTAACTTGAAAAATTAAGTAACCTGGGTTGCCTTCAAATTTTAAGTTGATTGAACTGGAAAAAGTGAGTTAATATGAAGTAGATTCATTTAACCATCAGAAACTCAAAATAATAAGTTATCTCAACTAAATAAATTATTCTAAAGTTGATTTGACAAAAGAAAATATGTTGTGATAATAAATCTTAAAAATATTTTTTACAGTGCATGATTTGATCCTTCACACACACGAAAAACAGCTCGCTTTGTCTTTTTGTGAGTAAAAAAATATTTTCATGATTTGTTATCACATTTTTTCTTTTGACAAATCAACTTAAATAATTTATGTAGTTCAGATAACATCATATTTTGAGTTTCTGATGATTAAATCAATCTCCTCCTTCATTGTATTAACTCAATTTTTCCATTTCAATGAACTTAATTTTTTTAAGTTAAACCAACAATATTTTTTTTAAAGTGTGTGCAGAACTCACTGTTATGATGCTGGAGAGTTGTAGGTGGTTGCTAATGTGTTGCTATGCATTTGATACTATTAGTTGTAAATAGTGCATGCTAGGGAGATTTGCTACCATATTCTCAGTGGTTTCTTAGTCAAAAAAGACCAATTCTCTAAATTTGGCTCAGATCTCGCCCTAGCTTATCATTCATGTTGTATAACAAACAGTGCTAAGTGCCAGATGTTTAATATCTATGGTTAATGGTTTGTTAAAATCGCTAACTATGAGTAACATTAATAGTGATTCTAGGTCAGCGGGGGTTTGTTTCACAACCGTGTCCTTATTTCATGTGGCATTTCTTTGAGCAGAGAGGTCACTTTCAGAAGGACAGTATGAAATGAAGTGTCCATGGGCCTATCCGTGTGCCGCAAGTGTTATTTTACACCGATGGTGATGTGAATAGAAAACATTTTGTCTTTGCACTGAGCACTTTGCACTTTTTTCGCCTCTGGTAAAAAAATAAAAAAATTTGTAAGAGATCTTTGCAAGCTTCTCTCCTTGTTGAATTTTAGTGCACAGTAACTAAAAAAACTGTGGAGAATGTTTTACAAAAAAATGCCACGACAGGCTTCTATTTCAAAATATCATGTTTACTTTGCATTCCCGTTTATTTTTATATCTAAAATTTTTTTGTGCTTTCATCATTTTCTTAGTCTTTTAATATTTCTATTAAGGCAGAATTTCTATTTTTTCATATAATATGCCTAGACTCTAAAAATGCTGGGTTGTTTTAACCCAATTTTGGTTAAAATATGGACAAACCCAGCCATTGGGTTACATTTTTAAATTACATTTTTAACCCAATGGCTGTGTTTGACCATATTTGACCCCAAATTGGGTTAAAACAACCCAGCATTTTTTAGAGTGTATATGTATTTACATGTTTAGCTTTATTTCAGTTAACGAACAGTACTTTTAATAGCTGTAGTTAATGGTAACACTACAGTGTCATTGTTACATATGTTACAATAAATGTAGTAAATTATGCATAATTACATGCAACTAACCCTAAACCAAACCGTAATCCTACCTTAACCCTATATTATAATTACTTAATAATACTGAGCACTTAAATTAGACACCTTTAATTAAAACTGTAGTAAACCACTAAAGTTCTGCCAAAGCTCCTGTTTTCACCGTGCGTTTCTCTTCAGGTGGGTGGGCTACGAGCACGGCTCTTACCAGGGTCAGCAGTTTGTGCTGGAGCGTGGAGAGTACCCTCAGTGCGATGCCTTCGGGGGAAGCAATGCTTACCACATCGAGAGAATGACCTCCTTTAGACCCATTTCCTGTGCTGTAAGTTCACTTAAACCATATCATACATAAATGACCCTACCTGCCATTTTGCATGGGTTTTCTATAACAATATCCTCATTTATTGCAATCATTGTTTTGAGTAAAAAAAAATTGCTCCATTTCATTACGGTATGTTTGATATGACTGTACCCAGAACCACAGGGAGTGCAGAATGACTATCTATGAGATGGAGAACTTCCTGGGCCGCAAGGGAGAGCTCAGTGACGATTACCCTTCTCTTCAGGCCATGGGATGGTGCAACAACGAAGTGGGTTCTCTGCGTGTTCAGTCCGGAGCGTGAGTATCTGCATGGCGTCTTCTATTTTCCCCCCTCAATGCTTCCATTTCATGCTTTGTTTGTTCACCGCTATCTCTGCATGCGACAGGTTTGTGTGCTACCAGTTCCCTGGTTATCGTGGATACCAGTATATCATGGAGTGCGACCGCCACTGTGGGGAGTACAAACACTTCAAGGAGTTCGGCTCCCATTCCCAGACCCCTCAGATCCAGTCCATCCGCCGTATCCAGCAGTAACGGATTTCTCCTTGACCCAAAAACTCTCATGCCCCTTTCTGCCCGATGCTAAATAAACTGTCTTTCTTAAACCTCACTGACCTCCTGTTATAGATCTGTGTCCAAAAATAAATAAGTAAATAAATAAAACAGTAGATAGCATTTGCTGAAACCTCAAAGCAACAGTGAGGCTTTTTGGACACTTAAAAAGAATAATATATGGTGTGCCTTTTATTACAAATTGTTTGAAACGGGTATTGTGAAGAATGTAGTCTCTGTGAAAATGCACTTTCACCCTTTTCCCGCCAGATGGAGCAATAAACCTACAAACATGCCTACAAACCAAATGAGTACAAATAAGGCAGGCATGCAATAAAAAAATAATCAGTTTTAACGAGAAACCACATTTTATTTAGCACGAAAACAGTCCATATCATGGCTTAGCTTGTACCTTAAAATTACTCTTGTTTTTAAATCATTAAATCATATGAGCAGGAATTGAAATAAGACACCCAAACAAAAAAACAAAACCGTATTTTTTTCTAGATGCAGTGTTGATAAAAGAGGTGGGATGTGCTTACACAACGATTTTATTTAGATAACATGGCGGAGCCAGTGAAGACACAAGACTTTCCTACTATGATGTAGCCATGGGTCATGAATATTAATTACGTAATGTGACGTGCGTCAGTAGGCCCATCTGATTTGCTGAAAGTTGCGTGGGCGCTATTCAGACAACGAATTAAAAAGTCCTTTTATGGAGAAGGCTTGACTTATGAATATTAATGATATACCGTGAATGGGCGCTTCAGGAAGGTTACTAAGCAACGTCAGCAGAATCAATTTAATATGCATAACTCTAGCCTTCGCCGTAGTAGGATTTAAAGTTTTGCTTTTTTTGTGTGTGTGTGCTTTCGCTTTTATTTAAAGAGAGAGAGGGCTATATATTGCGTAAATTAAGAGTTGATAGAAATGTGAAAAAGAGAAATAAGACAAAATGTATTGAAACAACAATTCTGACATAGCCTATATTTCAGCATGATAAAATGTAGCCCACAGTCTATAGCAAAGTTGACCCTTTTTACAGACTGTGATGACTCACGGTAAATCCTGCAAAGTTTTTTTTTTTAAAGTTTAAGTTTAAAAAACAAATGTTAAATGTATGTAGGTTTTTGACACTATTCTTTGTATTATATTATATTTGTATCAAATTACAAGAAACTAGCTATTGACCCTTTTCACATTTCCGGGTTTCTCGTAAGCGGAAGTCATCATAGTTAAGTAAACTCCCATAGCTGTGAATGAGAGAGTACATTAAATATATATTTTTGTAGTGTTTCTTTTCGCATTTGCTTGAATACCAAAAGAAAAACTCCACAATAGTATTTTCACAACTTAAAAAAGAGCAAAAATTAGAGAGAGATTGATAACGGCAGTCGGAAGAGAGAAAGATTTCCACTTTTTGCTTTCCATCACTCCTATTGCTGCTGTATTAGAAACACCCTCACAGCAGCTTTAACACGTTTTTGTTAATTTGACACAAAGTATAGCGATATACCATTAAAATGCGTCACCAAAGTCTGTAAAAAAAGGTCAGTTGGGCAATTTCGCATCCTTCTTCACTCGAATTCAGCTACGCCTCCAGTTCCAGTTCCAGTTCCGTGTTTTCAACACCAGCTCCGGGTTTTGCGTCGAACCGCTGGGAGGAAGTGCAGCTCTCAGAAGAGCCTGAATTTCACTTCACGACGCGCCGTGGGGCTCAGCTCACACACAAGCACTAAAACTAGAAAATAGTCGTATATTCCCATCTGGATTAACCTCGAGAGGAACTCTTTCCCGGAGGGTCTGAGTGGAATCGGACTGGAGTGTTTTATGTGGACGAATACTGTGGTTTTGTTGAGCGATGTCGGAAGAGATGAAGACTTGGATCTGCGACCCAAACACGGATGGAAAAGAAAAGAGTGGTTTCTTTCGGCAGTAACATCAAAAATTCAAAATTAGATCTCGTTTGGAGGAAAGTACATTTAAAACCCCAGACCGAAGCGTATTGGGATTAAAAGTCACGTCGTGTTGTTGTTGTTGTTTTTCTGCGAAACTCGGTAGTTTCGTCCATATAAGCTTGAGTTTGAGACGCACAAGATCTCGCGCAGAGATTTCAGGGTGAGCTCTTTATTTTGGAGTTTTTCTTTATTCATTTTCTTTATATATCCCTGGCTTGCTGTTTCATCGGACCACGTTTTGTGACACCATCGCGATTTTTTTTTAGTTTTTTTTTTTTTAGAAAAAGGAAACTCGGATTGCTTTCGTTCACATTTGCTTATTTCCTTTTCTAGCGCCCCCTCTCATCTGTAGGTTACAGAGTAGAGCAACATCTCAGTCGTTCTTGCTCTCAATTTAGAAATAAATGGACGAGTAAGCAAATCCAGTTAAGGAGGAAAAACTGTCTGCATTGAACCGCACAAGGCAATGGACTTGCCACATCAAAACACAACTAGTTTAATTTTGTCTCTTTAATTGGCTTGTGAGATCAAGACAACCAACTTGGATCAGCAAGAGAAGTGACAGACAGGCAGATCTCGACCATCGTACTACAAAAATGGGGATTTGTATGTGATATTACCAGGATATTTACATATATATGCGTATGCTGTTTAGATCTTGAATGCTTTTAGTCTCGCGTTTGTGGATATTCAGGAAACAATCCAGCCCGTGTCGCACTGAAAGCCATTATTTACGTTTCTCTAACCATTGGGCTTTCCACCATCTTTACGCCTTTTAAGAAGAGGAGGATACATATTAACCTTATCATATGCGGTCCGTTTGTTTGCTGTCGTTAAATGTGATCAAACAGGGAAATATTGGCGTCCATTTTCATTCCTTATTGTGTTTTGCAGCGAGCTGGCTTGCTTATTTTAACACCCTAATGATATCGTCTTGTCCGCTCGTTTACGACTTATTTTCTATATCTTGTTGGTTTTAACCGGATTGCATTGTCGTTTTGATTAGAGGATCATCTTGGGGATTTATTTCATAAGACACTGACGGGCCAGCTTGTATGTATTTGTAGTTAACCCGCTACTGCCGTTATTTCCATCCATCTGAATGGACGGTTGCTCAAATTAACTTGCATGTCATTTTTAACGGTCGTTATACCGGCAGGTCGGTTGTTCGCGTTAAACTCCCCTAAAGGATGAGTGCTGGATGGGGGCATCTGCAGGCTAAAATCGCTATTATCGTTATCACCATCTAGAATTATTTCTGGAGATGATGACATACACATGTTTTCTTCATCTTTGAAACAAGAAGCCATTTCTGCAATTCCACTGGACCTGAGGGTGACGTTGCTTCATAGATAAGCACCCTATAGAATTTCCACTCCGAGTGGATTTTTTTCCCCCCGTGTATTTTCAGCCACGATGGTTTATTTCTGAGAGCATTTTTTGTGCTTTGGAAACACGATAATTAAGCAACTGGGGCTGGAATAGATGTTCGCGCCTCTCTCGCGCACCATCATCCTCATCATCACCACCACAGCTCCCGCGCTCGTCTCGTGCTGTTGATTCCGCCCGCGCGCGAGCGCGCAACATCATCGTTCCCTCACGTTCTCCCTCACTGCTGGTTCTGGTACCGTTAGCGAGTCGGTTCGACCCAGAGGGCTCGAAGATGGCGGACCTCGAAGCGGTTCTCGCCGATGTCAGTTACCTGATGGCGATGGAGAAGAGCAAATCTACTCCAGCGGCCCGGGCGAGCAAGAAAATCATCCTTCCCGAACCCAGGTAAGCGCTACGAGTCTGTCTGACAGTTAATTCAAGCATGCTATATTATAATCTTTTATCGTGAAGAGGTGGGTTGACGTGTCAACATATTGGGTTATTCATTTCCCCAGTATTTTGACTGAATATTCGTGTAGTTTGACGTTAAATAAGCGTTAGAAATTCTGTAACCATTTAGTAATGGCCTCTCTTGTACACTTGGGGTTTGCCGTTTACTTATTGCTTTCGCTTACAAAAAAGTGCCATGGCATTTTCGGACAAGCTACTCGTTTATTTGTTGGTATACTTTATAAATACCATATTATTTAAATACGTTAGAATGCCAAGCAAAAACGATGGTATGAATAGTATAAATAGGCCTGTTCTGAGTCCAGCACTTTACCATGGTAACACCACAGTGCTTATTTCTTAGCGTTGGCAGGTAAGGCTGGATCAATCCTAATTATTAGGGGTTTCTTGTGTTAAAAAGCCTATGTCACACATTTTGTGCTGTGTTTAGTGTTTTCGAGGTTGTTCAGCAGTTACTGAGGCCTGTTGTGAAAATTCCCCTGTGTGAATCAATGGTTCTTATCACCTGTAGATTTGCACCAGGTTGAGGGTGATATTCACTGTAAAAACAGGTCGAAATTCTGGCATTGGCTTCACATTTGGACTTGCATACTCAAGGCATACAAATGCCCTTTTGTTTTTGTTTTTTGTGTGACTGTTTAAATTTGTTATACCTTGGAAACGTAAAATATATCTATTGTAAGGGAGTAAATGTTCAGATGATTAATGTTTCTCATATCTCGTACCAGTTAACATTCAGTCTGCTAATATTTTCCATTTGATTAAACTTACAAACAACCCACAGATTATTGAATTATTTCATGTACATAAACCATGTAAGATTAAATAGGAATTCAACAACACTTGCCCAACAGGCCCTGTTTACAGCTGGTAGCCATGTTCCAGGCAACCTGTAACCCTTGTTTTTCCAACCTTATACCTGTGTGAAAGTGCACTGTAACGGCAGTCACGGCAGTACGACCCGTGAACTCGTACTAGATCCATGTACTCCCAGTTACAAGCTCTGACTTCACATAGCCCACAAAACCATACAAAACAACAATGGCAGAGGCCCTACGGATGTAGTGTTTCTGTTGGTGGTACATGGTGAGAATACTTTAGGACCGTATAATATTAACTAGTTTTTTCAGTCCATTGTGTGGATAAATTACCAAATACATTTCCAAATTTCCAAATAAAGTAAAATAAAAAGGTTTAACAGCTTATCTTGTCTTAAGCGCCATTTTTCCTCCTCAATTTCCCTCAAATAAACAAGTAGTAAGCACCTTTGGCGACAGAAATTATTACAAATGCGCATAACCCCGTAAGGTCTGCCATGCTGGTTTGTTTATATCTAGCTACCGCAATTCTAACCGGCCTGGAATGCTACAAAGTCGTGAGTCGTGGTTTGAAGTTGTGAATTAAGTGCTCAAAATCTTGCCTGGAACGCAGCATAAGATGCAGCATGTATCACAAGCTGACATCACTAAATACAGGTGTAAACGGGGTGTAGAACGTTTTAAGCTTGTTCATTTTCAACCACTTCCAGAGGTAGTCAAACGTATTGGTTGAATGTTGTGTTCAAACAGCCTCAAAAGACCACCAACTCTCGGCCTACTGACCTAAAGCATAAACATTATGCGTAGCGCCAAGTTTATTTTGAAGAGGAAAAATGTACCCAGGATAATCAGAGCTCCAAGCTGTGACACTTTTTCCTTCTGGTGCGACTACATTTTGTTAAGTTCGCACTGGTGCTACTTAGGGGTGGGCGATATGACCAAAATTGTGTTTCACGATATGACTAATTTTATTTCACGGTAACGATATATTTCACGATATAGTTATTTATATAGTTATCCTCAAAAAAAAAAAAAAAAAAAATCGACAAAAAGGGCTTTGTATAATAAATAAACCCAAATACTTTAGAGATGAAAAGTATGTCACCTTGATTTATTTTTATTTTATTTGGTAAATTATTTATTTGTTAAACTATTTTTATATCAAAATATAGTAAACAAAAAACACTTTTAGATGAACTTCCCACAACAGATTGATATTAAATACAACTCATAGGTGCATTTTAACTTTAAATAATTTTTCAATCTCATGCATTGCTTTACTTCATCAATCAGTTTATAATATAATTTTATAATATATATAATATAATTATAATATTTTTTTTTTTACCACATGTGCTTATTATACTGCGTTTTTAACGGAGAAGGGTATTTCTGCACAACCGGAGACTGCACTGTTGTTTTAACGGGCTTGTTTTGCTCTTTTTGTTATATCTGGCAACCCGTCAGTTCAGAAGTGACAAGAAGGAGAGCAGCAATATGAAAACCAAACCGCAGCTACTGTTAGTGTTGACTAAGTAGTTTAAATTATACACACCTTATAACAGTGCGTCGAACACCGCGCGCTCCCTCTTAGTGCATGTGCACGCGCGCGTCTTTTACATCAACAAAATGCGATCGATTAATTTGAGAGTGAAGTTGTAATCACGGATCGAATCAAAGGAAGATTTTATCAACTGGTTCAGTAGGCAATTGTTTGGAGTTTAAAAAAATATAACTCGCGCTGCATATTTAGTAATTTTGCCTCAGAAACAGGATTATATATTCGTTTTAACAAGCAGGATGTTCATTCATGCTGAATGTGATTTTCATGTTTAAAAAGTAACTATAGGCCCTACATAAGAGAAGGAAAGATGCGGATAACTATACATTATTTAAGGTTATTTCTCGTAATGATATTGATATAGCCTATGAAATGTTGTTATCAAGTAACTTCATGCTTTCCCCGTTGCGAACTTGCACGCGCGTGTCTAAACTGTAGCCTGGGTGCTGCTGCTCTGCTCAAGTTGACGGCTGCCTTTCCCCCCGAACATATCACGTTAATAACAATCCTTTAGAAAACGTCATTCCTTTGTGGATCCTCTTGATCTGCTTTCTCCATGTTTCTTTGACAAATCTCAGCATCAGTCTCACGCGCGTTGCACGGAAGTTAACCACGCCCCCTTATTTGCATTTCGCGGTATACACTGAATAAAAAAATCTGTTACGACTGATGTTTTCTATCGCGGTAACGATATATATCGCCATATCGCCCAGCCCTAGTGCTACTACCATGTTGCCCAAGTGGTGAGAGCTACAAATTTTGTTATATATGAACATAAAATGGTGAAACAAAACAGCGCTACTAGTTTGAGCTGCGCTGCATGGACCGTTTATCAGCCTAGAGAAGTAATAGACAGCGCAGCGTGAGCTCCAACGGTTTTACACGCAGACCAATCTTTGATCACACGTCAGCGCTTTGAGATCCACTGAAAAAGTGCTGTTTTTCCAGCACTTCAAAGCTCTAAATATCATCCAATTGTAATGTTACTCCTAATGTGATGATTTGTAAAAATTAAAATTATAAAAAAAAAAATAACACTTCGTGACAAACATAATGTTTCATCTACAAACAGTAGATGGTGGCAGATGAGCAATTTTTGACTGAGCCATTTCCACTCCCTAATGGAGAATAGCGCGTCAGGCGTGAATGATTTCAGTATTAAGTTAATGCAAAGATGCGTTACGCGCGTAAAAAATATGCCTCATTCGCGCGTTAATTTTGCGCGAATTGAGTATCTGGCGCTTTACGTGCGAATGATTCAGTTGACATGAATTCGCGCCTGCCGCCCGAGTTGAAAAATCTGAACTTTAGCGTCAAATTCACGCCATGTTAACCAATCAGGAGCCTAGCTGCTTGCTCACGTGGTGAAGTATCTGGATGCTTCAATAAATTATTTTGTAATATGACTAAATGCATGTGGTTGGTTCTAATGCACAAGAAAGCAATATTTTATCACTCAAAACTTTATTTCAATATACAAGACACAAGTTCATTTTGTATTGAATGTTATTTATGAAGTATTATTATGATGCAAAGACAACCAACATACATGTGCATAAGTTCTTGTCTGGACGTGAGAGAGAAAAAAACAGAACAGGTAAATAACTTTTGGAGGCTGGCTCTATTTATCATCAAAACAAAAATAAATTCCAGATTAGATGGATGAGGGCGAGGGTGATCCTCGCTCCGACGCGGGACAACAGGTCATCAAACTGAACGCGGGACAGGCTGAAGTACCACTGACAGCGGCCGTCATCCAGCGCAGCCCCTGGAGCGAGCAAATGGTGAAATTCGCCAAACGGTTCGCCTCTGAAGGGTCCAGTGGACACAAATACGGCGACGATGATCCCCATGCCGCTATTCTGCTCTCCAGAGCAAATACAAGAGCGGTGACTCTCTCGATGAATGCTCGGTCGACATAAAAAAAATGGCCGCCAACGGATTTAGATTCTGACAGTTTCACTCTTGACGCGCGAATTAACACAAAGTAATCAAGCGTCAAAATAGACCCGGTAGACGCAAATTTGACGCGCTATTCGCGTCCGGTGTGAACGCACCGTAATAAATGGTAAAAAAGTAGCAAGTAACAAAAGTCTCGTTAAAAACAAAATATTTTCTTCATTGTAACTGAATTACACTAAAACAATTAAAGAGCACTCTTTTTATAATCACTGAAGCTGACGGTCAGTTCAGTAAGAAACTATTTTTAAAAAATGGCACATTTAATAATATAATAATAGTAGAATATTTAGCCAAAATTTCCCTATGAAAAGAATTTTTTGCACATTACCGTTCATAATAAAAGTTAATTTTATCTGAATCACAATTCAAGCTCAGTGCTTTACTGGCAAATTTTCTATAAACAAACAAGTAATGTTATTAGTAACTGCTCTTATTAATGCAAAAAAGTAATTTTTTAATTAAAAATCCCCCCTGCACCACCAAATCAGGTGCTGCCGCCACCATCTGTAAAACTTGGTCAAGCGGCTGTCAGAGCAGAAACAAAGCTCATTCTCTCCATATGTTTTTCCATCGTTTCCAGGTGCGCTCATGTA